AGTGAGAGAGAGAGAGAGAGAGAGAGAGAGAGAGAGAGAGAATGAGAGAGTAATAGAAAGAGAAAAAGAGGGCGAGAGAGAGAGAGCCAGAGATGGAGAGACTGAAAGAGAAAGAGTGCGGTAGAATGCTCCCTGTTGTTTTCCTCGCGCGACAATATAATCTGCGTTTCCATTGTCGAGGAGCGCGTCACATAAAACTACATCGGTTATTCGCTACGGCGCTTATTCGCAATTATTTATTTGCAGCGGTGGCAACACCTGTAGAGAAAAGATTAGGTGTGCCCATAGAAGCGGAAGATGGATGCAACCCGTCGATAGGAGCAGCTACCTTCGTCTCTGATGCAAGAGACTGTCAGGTGTTCTACATCTGCGACCATGGCTGGCCGAAGATAACGGTGAGTAAGCAGCGAACCAAGAATCGCTTAATGAGGGTTGCTTGCCCGAGAAAGTCTATTTAATTCGTGGACTATAAGCATTATTGACCATCAGGGGAGACATAACCAGTGGGAGATAAGCTAGGGTGAACTTTAAAAGAAGACCAATGCTTCAGACCGATTTCAGTCTAAATGAATCGTAGTTAGATATCGGCGTGGCTGGAGAGGGGACTGTGTTGGAGAGAGCTCGCGGCTGAATAGTGCGTGTCTGGAGAGGGGCTTCGCTGGAGAGGGGCGTGGCTGAAAGAAGGGACCTGATTTGAAAGGATGGAGTGATCGAAGAGATGTCACTGGAAAGTGGCGCGTGGCTGTGTTGAGACGCCACCATTATTATCTTTCACATGTTCCCTTGCAGCGGTGCCCTGGTGTGACGATCTGGACACAGATCGACGATCACGAAGGGCGCTGCGAGGCACCGGAGAATGGCACCAACAGCGTGTGCGGTTACGTACGTCCCCCGCCTCCTACCGTCACCGAGGAGAAGATCAGAATAGAGGACGGTGAGTAAGGAAGGGATATACACCTGGTACCTGAGCGAGCAGTTTAGCATTGTGCATATACGTATCAGTACACCAATAATAAATCGTTTGAGTGCGTGCGTGCATGCATTAGTGTTAGTGGAAGCGTTGAATTTATGTAAATGCACTAATGTAACTTTACGTGGGCCTATAGATTTGAGGATTACCGCCATTATAATACGTTTGCTGATGTTCGGTTAGAAATTACTGATTCGTGTGAGCTGCCGCCAAAAGAATAAAACGATAATAATATAATAATAATGTGCTTAATTACCATTGTCACATCTGCTCACCCCTTACATCTTCCCCGCGCAGGTCTGGCGTACTGTGAGTGGCATTGCGTTAACTCCGCAGAGTGTATCACCAACCTAGCTGTGTGTGACGGTGTGCAACACTGCAGCGACGGATCAGATGAGAGCGACTGCGCAGTAGAGTGTGACCCACGGACCTGCCGACTCCCCGGCTGCAGGTAAGGCTCCGACGCTCTAGACGACCGATTAGCACATCCTAGCCTCCTCTACCGATAATATCTTCCTCTAAACTTCATCTGTCAGCGAAAGCATCTGCCAAACGAATAGCAGTCGCTATTCGTTGCCTCACATCGCCTGTGTTTTTTTTACTGTTTTTTCACTGGGACACCAATGTTTGCTAAAATGTTTTCTAACTCCGTCCTGTAGCGCATCGCGTGCGACGGCGCTGCCTCGAGTGTTGTGAGTACGCGTTTACGGCATGGCTTTGGCGTATTTGCAGGTGTTCAAACACTGATGTTCCGGGTGGTCTCCTGCCCACTGAGGTGCCCCAATTGGTGATGCTCACATGGGAGTCTGCAATCAGACTCGAGGACTACAACCATCTTCTTCAGCAGGTCTTCAAAAAGGTAATTAGTTCGCTGGTCATTCAATGGCCACCTCATGACAGGTTACAAACCAGTGATACAGTGCAACGACATATACGGAAGTGTAAACATACGTAGCATAGTACAGCAATACTCCCACAGTCGAGCGAGATTGACCAAAGTAGATGACTTTCAGGTTAACAATCAGCGAAAAAGGATCCGGAGAGAGAACCCCAACGGCTGCCCCATGGTAGGAACCTTCTTCATTAATCACCAGTTCAACGACTACGCCGCCACACAGGACTTGTACCACGACGGCCACGAGATAGCTGCCATGTCTATCAGGTATGTCAGAATAGGTGTAACGCTGCGGAAGGGTGCGATGTGCTGCGCAGTGTCTGTATACCCTTGTACGACTAGATGGTATTCGCGAAGATGTGGGATGGTTATATATCTTATGGACAGCAGGGGGCGCGCGCCGGCCTTGATTTTTCTCACCTTTCTCACTGTTTTCCAGTCATGTACCCGACGTGAGCAACTACTGGCAAGAACTGGACGAGAATATGTGGGCGAGAGAAATCGCTGACCAGAAGCAAATGTTTGAACATCTGTCCTTCGTGCCTGAATCATCGGTCGTCGGTATGCGTGCCCCCTACCTTCAACTGGGCGGTAACCGGCAGTTCTCTATGCTTCAGGTATGCCCATTCTTAGAATTTTGCAACAGAATTTAGTTGCTAAGCCTCTTTTACATCACGAGCCTGCATGCATGTGTTTGTGCCACTTATACAGAGTAAAAATATACCTCGTCGCGTTGGTTGATTAACACATCTTCATTCATTTATGCTTATAGGATAATGGGTTCCGCTATGACATGTCATGGCCAACTCAGCAGATGGAGCCACCGCTTTGGCCGTACACCCTGGAGTACAGAAGCACACAGGTGGAGTTCAGTCGGTCGTTTATTCATCAGGACCAGTCGCAGCAGCTGTGGCTGTGCGTCGTATCGTATACCGGTTATGATCGGAGTTGTAAATACCACTGGCACGTTGTTATATATAGTCAATGGCCGCGTGTGTGCTGTAGCTGCAGGTGCCGACTTGTTCTTGATGCCAGTGGTAAATACAGAGCAGATTCTCAGTGAGTGCACGCTTCGATCATTGGCTCACATGTCATCTTGCCTTTATGTAGGAGTGCGTAGTTGCACCGTGTCCAACTGCATCTTTCCCTGGCTTGTGGGAGGTGCCAATGGTTGACTGGCTTGATACCAATGACACCGTGTGTAACAACGTTGATGGATGCTACTTTCCACTGAGCAAGGAGGAGTCGTTGACGCTTCTCAGGAGTAACTTCAGGTGCGGGTTTTGTCAGGTAGTAGTAGTAGTGTGCTAGGTAGTAGAGGGATTAGAAGAGAATGTATTAAAGACAGGTTATGAGAGATCAGAGATTGCTACATGGTTTTAAAAAGCACATTGCATGGGGTAGGAGGAAGACGACTTGGTGATGGTTTGGGAGCAGAGCATGGCGAGAGCTTGAAAGGGGAGTTTGATGGGTACGATTCAAGAAGATATCACCATGAAAGGTTGGGACAGAATCTTTGTGGGTTTTGGTAAAAGAGCTTCATGAGTGATGCACGTCCTTGCCAGCTTATGTTATTAATCACTTTCCACGTGGATCGCTGCAGACGTCACTACGAGACTAACCGGGCGCCATTCCCATTGAATCTTCGCGCACGTTGGTTCTACGAGGCACACTACAATATTGAGGCGTTGACCGAGTTTCTAGATGAGCTTGAGGCACTTCCAGATGTCTACCTCGTCACGGTATCCCAGACCCTTGACTGGATAATGAACCCTAGCCGAATCTCAGACACCGCCAGGTGAGGCTGCTTTAATACTATATCGTAGTGTATGCATACCTCTGCTAACTCATCACACCTTATCATTTAATGTCTGTACGTTACTGCATTCTACAGGAAAGCCTCTGTGGCTAAACAGCTGCCAGCTGCCTGCCATCTTCTACCACTCACTGTTTGCCTGGTACTCTGTTATTCAGTATCTATACGCATTACCTTGCTGCTCTGCCTGTCGGTTTATACTGTTCATCCTTTGATATCTACTACCTGACTACTCTGTTCTGTCATAATGTTTGAATGTCACTCTATCCGTCCGTGACACGTGTCTGTCTGTGACCATGTGTCATATTCACTGCGCCGCATCATGATTGTGCTGTTGTTTGGTCCCTGTGCTTTCTAGCTGGCCACTAACCATCTTCTATTGGTTTCAGGTTTTTCACATGTGACTACTCGGACAGACTGCCATTGTGCAAGGAACCAATTTCTTGCACGTACCTTAACATCACCCACCCACCCAACAGCATAGAGCACCAGGGCGACCGCAGAATAGAGACATGTGCAACCACTTGCCCACCACGCTACCCCTGGGTCAACAACCCTGACGGCAACCTGTAGGTGGCGCCACCATAGAAGCCATCTGACTCAGCTAACATCCTACAACATTCGTTATCTGAAGTTCTGCCTGCCAGGCATCATCTCGACATTACGTCCTTTTCCCACGACTTCGACTTGCCCCCAGTATTTCTCTCGTCCTCCCTTTCCCACATGATCTTATTTATCCACCACTTCTCCCTATACCTTTGTTATTTTCAAATAGATGTAGTGATTCTTCATAAACAATCATGTTAATTTATATAGTATTATTTATGTATTTATTAGTCACAAAATGCACGTCAATAAATTTATTAAATCAACTATAATTACTGTTCGTTCCAAATTCCAATACATATGACCCGTTACAACATTGGCTTTTGTTTACAACAAGACATTTTATTGGTGAAAACGTACAGATTTCTATTTCATATAACAAAATATTTCGGTGTGTTTCTAAGTCTGCATAGAGCTTAATATACTCTGTCACCATCTCAGATATAACAAACATTAATAACAAGCTATAAAGGCAGCAATGCGCCTGACAGCCCATTTGCCTATGTACATTTAACACGTACCAACTACATTTAATTGTATAACTACATAGCGTAACACACACGTGGCAATATACGTAAGAATTGCAGTATGTCCCTGGCCCTGGAGCATGCACACTGATAGTGATAGTGAACAATTGCACCATACTTATATCACACAATTCTGAATTGCCTTTACTAGTCCCCCCCCCCCACACATACGAATACGCCATCTTCTGCTTCCTGACAATGACATCCAGTTACCTTTCCTGCAACAGTTCTGGCTAACTTGCCCCCAGCTGTTCCTTCTCTTCTCCACGACCCCCCCCCCGCCGGCCAGCTTCCCATTTCCTACCCCATTTTCTGCATCTTGTCTCAGACGTCTCCCTTCTCTCTCATCACACACATGCTCTCTCTCTCTCTCACACACACGCACGCACGCACACATGCACGCACACACACACACACACACACACACACATACACGGCTTTCTCTTACCTAAATCCTCTTCCTCTTGGCTACCCTACCCTCTGCGGCTGGCTCTCTTCCAACCTATCTCACCATCCCACCCCTTCCCTCCAACCATCCTGTATTTACACGAATCACACCTCTTACTCCCATTTTGACTCCTTCTAAAATCAGTTCAGCAAGCATGATTCGTATGTGGGAACCATGTACTTGATGTTGATAAAGGCATCATCACCTCCATGCCGCTCAAATGCCTCTAGTGTTTCCTGGATCAGATCGCCAACGTTCTCACGCTTCTGCTGGCTATAGTCAATGCCATCGCCTGAATTCACTGCAAACACACGAATCACACCACTCTTAGTGCTGCCTTTAGATATCAATCTGCCTAGATTGCTGTTGGCATTTTAATCACACTACAACTCACATTAGGACAATTGCTGTTGACCTTTCATTGATAAAGGATATCAGCACTGTCAGTGCCACCATTATCAGGTTTATATATATGTTAGTAATTGGGTAGCGATCACTGCCATTGCTGCAAGTAGTGTTTCTATAGGTTGTATAACCACTCTTATCGCCAGTGCAATCATCAAGGTCGCTGTCACTAACATCAAATTCAACACGAAAAAATGCTATAATAACAAAATAATATTGATTTATAAAATATCGATATATATAATATATATCTATATTCTTGATTTTAAAGGTCCTAATTACTATTATGCCTGTTGACGACCGTACAACACACAATAGCATCGAGATCACGTACATAATAATTAAAATAGTAATAATGGTAGCACTTGCTGTACCAGTCACAGTACTAATAGTAATAGTGGTTATCATCACTGTCATCAATATCTTCATCTGACATGCAATACTGTAATGCCATGCTGTGGCTGAATGAGAGCTGTTGTCACTGCACTTACAGTTTTTGTTCTTGAAAATATTGAGTATGGGGAGAATCTGCCTGTAGTAGGGCACGAGAGCTTCTCCCACCATCTCACCCGACACCACAAGATGCTGTAGGACCTTCAGTGTTGTGCATACCACTTGGTGATTCCGTGTGTTTAGTGCATCTGTTATTTAATCAATAAAATCCAAACTAAAAAAAACTTATTAATTTTTAAACAATGATTTCTAAACATGTTGTGACATTCTTAATACTTTTAACACAATTCCAAATCAAATTATGGTTAAACTCACTGTAACCCTTACACCATGCCAGTATGCCTCATTCCTCACCCCATTTTAATCCTTTTTAATCCCATTTTAATCCATTTTCCACTTACCTCTCACTCCGATGCCCCCACAACCTTCCCCACACTTACACCAACCACCTTGACTATTCCTTACCCACCCTCTGTACTCAATCCACTTTACATTCTTCCTGCATAAATATTTATTTGTACTCAATCTCCTCCCCTTACAAATACGTCCAGTTCCTTTACCCACTCCCCAATCCACCCTTCCTTATATCAGGGGTAAATGGTGACACATGATTTGTCATGATCTCACCCGGCCTCTATTTAACCTCCTGTACTTGGTGTCCATTTATCCATTCATCATACGCACATATCCTGTCCATATGCACTCTACACACTACCCATTCCTAGACTCTCTTGCACCTTCTGTAGTCATTGTCCCACACATAACCCTGAGCTTCATATACACAACACCTCTGTAATCTATCACACTACCACCTGTACTTACTCTTGATAGGGATGATGAGCTGTGGGATAACAGGAAGAATCTTGGAGCCTCCATGTTCAAGCATGTCATGCACACCTTGCCTGGCAAAGAACTCATAGGGGTGTGTTGTCTCACACAGCCCATCGAAGAACAATGGTAGGTAGTGATGAAAGTCAAGCTTCTCTATCTCTATCTGTAAGCAGACGTTTATCACTCTTATTCTTGTTGTCTATCATTGTTATTTTTATAATGGAGGAAGAACTTTTATATAACGATCAGTCATTTTCGGTAATGCCTGGCTGAGACATGAACATGTGATCCATGTACATATGCTAGACATCAGGAAATATAGCAATTTAGTTACCCTATTTATCTTCCATCAGAATATATAGGAGCAGAGATTTGACATTATAATAAGATTACAAACCAACCTTCCATGCAATTTTGTTCCCTTTTGTGTCATGCTCAAGAGCAATTGGAAAATCTCCTCTTTCATAGAACTTTCTGAAAGCTGTAGGTTTCATAAGTGGCCTCTCCTTAAAGGCACCTGCTCTTGGTGGGCTACCTGTCTATAAAATTAATTATGCATAGGAATGTTAATATAACAAGAAAGGAAGAGAACAGGCGAGAAAATTAATTTTAATGTTTTGGGGTAAGACAAGTGTTCCATTAATTAAACTTCACAAGAAATTATACTAGGAAACCTACACTCCCTCCCTTTTGCTATCTCTTTCTTTCTCTCTCTCTCTCTCTCTCTCTCTCGGCTCTGTCGGCGTGCTCACTCGCTCGCATGCGCACGCACGCGCGCGCGCACGCACACACACACACACACACACACACACACACACACACACACACGCACGCACGCACGCACGCACGCACGCACACACACACACTCTCTCTCTCTCTCTCTCTCTCTCTCTCTCTCTCTCAGACTCTCTCTTCCAATCTTCCACTTCCTTTCTACCGCTCTCTGTAATTGTAGTCACCATGTCCATGGCATATGCCATCATTGCTTTACACATAAACTATTAGTATTAACTATTAATAAAGGATTAAAGCTTTTACTTTACTTTTATTAGTTTTAACAGGTTACACGTACAGCAATTGACTTGGAAAAACACCTTATTATTAGTAGTAGTCACGCACGCACGGACGCACATACCCCACGCATGCACTCACAACACACACACGCGCACGCAATCAGACAGTGAGTGAGATAGGACCTACGGCTACACTCATGATACTCATCTAGTCATTACTCATGACATTACTGTCATTAGCTTACCTCAACGTTATTCATGATTGATTTAGCAGAAAACGGGACCGCTTTTAATGATTTTTGAGTGTCCCTCATCTGCATCGCTGCCGAAGACGTTGGCATTTTTAGAGAAATTATCAGGCTCGATATAACAGAGATTAAATGTTATTGCTAGTAACAATAATGACAAAACACACGCTCCGTTTGTGTATTAAAATACCCATAGCAACCTGATGGCAACCAGCTGCGCCACCTAGGAGTATGTAGAGTAGAGAGATCTGCGTCGGTGCAGAGTAGATCATATACCAGGAGTGTATGTATAATCATAGATATGTGTTGTATATAGCTATGGTATAATATACTATTATATAGAGATATAATATAATATAGAAATACTATAAAGATAAGTAGAGTATTATATAGATATCTATATATTATACAATTATGATTATAGCAGGGGTGAATAATGATAATTTTTTCATTATATTCACCCCTGATTATATATAATATGGGATAGATTTATCACTACATAGGCCTACACTACTAACAATGAAAATCAAGGAGCTGCTATGATAGAGCTCATTCGCTAAAAAAATAACTTGTTAGTCCCCAAAGCAAGATCTCATGATGTTGCGTTATCATGCTAATTGCGCTGTTATTCCCCCCTCTCCGCCTCGTGCCCCACTTTGGTTGAACTCTTGGCCACATTTACGACAATTATTGAAGGCACTCTTTTATTACGGCGATATATTCACCTTAGCCTAGCTCGAATTCTAGATAATTTTATATAGCCCACACATATGGCTGTATAGTGTTATCAAGAGGGCGGGCCCTCTGAATCTTAGCACAAGGGGAGTTATTGTATAATCGTTCGCAGACTCTTCGCAGACCCTTAGTCTCTATATAAAGGCTCTGATCGCGCATGCCTGAGGCGCGTAATGTGAACCAGCATAGCGGTCAAGACTCTAGAGGCAGTTGAAAATGGCCGTTAAAGAAAATCTGCGTATGGTTCAAATTTTTGATATTTTCTGCTGTTTCCATAAACGCAGTGCGTGTGCGCGTGCGCGTGCGCGTGCGCGTGCGTGCGTTTGTGTGTGTGTGCGTGCGTGCGCGCGCGTGTGTGTGTGTGTGTGTGTGTGTGTGTGTGTGTGTGTGTGTGTGTGTGTGTGTGTGTGTGTGTTGTGTTGTGGAGGAGCGAGAGAGAGAGGAGAACAGAGAAGATGAGAGAGAGAGAGAGTAACAGAGAGAGAGAGAGAGAGGAGAGAGAGAGAGGAGAGGGAGAGAGAGCGAGAGTAGAAGAGAGCGTCGCGGCTGGCGCGAGGAGATTAGTACCTACACACACCACACGTTCACACAGCAGGCACCATCACATCAGTATCACTTGCACATCGATGCGGGGACCTACTGCACCACATCACACACCACACAACACACACACACACACACACTCCACACACACCACACATCACACAGGCAATCTCAGCACAAATACACACACACAGCCACAACATAACCCACTCATCACACTACACACACATCATGCTTCACGACACACACGATATTAGCATATAATGTCCACTGATTACGGTAAGGTAACGCCGTTGTGGCTGTGCGTGGACGGTAGTTGACATGCGCTCACATAAGCCGCACACACGCCCACTTCAACACA